AATTACTTCTCTTTTATTTCTTTCTTCTTCCTCTCTCTCTCTCTCTCTCATCTTACGTATTATGTATTCAGTATATCCAATACGTGATAAACGTTTAAATCACGTACCCGTTTTACATTACATACATCTTTACGTTATTTCTTTAAAAGTATTTTTTTTTTCTTTTTCCAAAGTATTCCAAATTTTAGCAAATTGGATATCTATGTAAAATTGAAAATGTTACAATAATTAATCTACCGTAACTCGATTAGAGCAAAGGGCCATGTAAAGAAAGATGAGTAAAGAAGCAAGTAAAGCAGTTAAATTCCCGAGATTTCCCGTATTTTGATAAGTTGACCTGAATATTGAATTAGTCGATTTGTAAAGTATAATTTGTTTGTTTTTGTAGGATAAAAATTTACAAAAGATTTTAGAACAATCAGTCATATGTGATAAAAAATGACATGGAATAGATGAATTAACCTCTCATTCAAAACGTTCATAGATTAAAGATGAATTTAACCTTTGACCAGATCATTCACAGCGCCAATTTCCAATTCTCATATTCAGACTAAAAAGACCAGTCATTGGATAACCATCGTAGAAAGTAAATGAATCAGAATGACCAGGAATATCTAGAAATGACCAGCATAACTTATATCATACTCATTGATCATTTATCTCTAATATTTTCATTTTCTTACAAATTCTCTTCAAAATATCATACATTATCGTTCCAATGTATCATTTTTACCGAAATATACTTTTTCATTTTCATAAATCAATTGCAATACCATCGGTCATTGAAATTATTTCATGTATATTTTCTCGTTTTATCGATTTATCAAACATCTCAATCTCAGTCTTCTCCCCGCTCCCCGCCCTGTATTATATTTACCATCTCAGAAACATTGACAAATTTATGGGATCTGATTAAATTCTAGCAAATAAAAAAGGAATAAATAAAGTAACAAAAATGATGACAAATGAAATTGACAAAAATCTATCATAAATTAGAATTTATTCGTTCGATACATATGTATAAATGCAAATTAATCTGTTGAAGAAAGTTATCATTTCAAGTTTTTTTAGTGAAATTATCGAATGAATATCGATAGATACAGATGCTTTTCCATTTCAATTAATAGTATAAAAATTCGTGAAAAATAAAATATTAATAAATTTCATTTAATGGAATGTAAAATTGAAAATTGGATTTTATAAAATTCAAAAATTGAAATTAGAAATGGAAAATTTCATCTGTTCAGGAATATTTTCAAGCTTTAATCTCATTCCTTTTTTTCTTTCTTATAAAAACTGATAAGTTATTGTTTGTGCAAAACGAGGGATAAATTACTTGTTTATCATTTATTTTAGAGTAAAATTGAAAAATTTTTTGAAATTTTTCAAATGAAACTATGATTAATTAACATTTTATCGGCATTTTCATAATTAACATGACGAAATTTTCAATTCAAAGCTTATCAATTAGTAAACAATTAATTATCCCTCAATAATTATATCATTCATTGATTTGATTTCATTTTAAAGGAAACAAATCTTTCAAATTTTTTTCCGATAATAAATTTGAAAGTTTTTTTTTTATTGACACACTGTTAATACAAACTTTCCTTTGTTTTTTCGTAATAATTAAAAAAGTAAAAATAACAAAGAGGAAAAAAAACAAACAAATATATTAAAATGAGAGGAATAAAAGAAAAAGATGAAAAGGATGGTAAAAAGAAAGAGAGAAATTTAGCAGGTTTGAAATAATGGAATTAATCAGTAATGAGTGTGTACTTTAATGATGACAACTTGCTGTGACACAGAGAGAGAAAAGGAGAAAGAGGGAGAGAGAAAGAGAGAGAGAGGGTGAGCAAGAGAGAAAAGGGACATTTATAGGGATTCTTTTGATTAAATGAGCAAAATAAACTAAGGATAGATTTTAAAGTGAAAAATATGGATAACAGGATAGATAGCCAAGTGTGAATTTAACTAAGCATAGGCTTTTAAGGCTTATTTCGATTATATATGTTGCTTGTTTATTTGCTTTCTTAGTTTTCAAAATAAAAAGGAAAAGATTTTTTTTAATGTTATTAATTTTTTTTTTTTTGTCAGTGTGGTAACGGAACAAATGGTCATTCACCGCTTATTTCACGTAGTGAACGTGTACTTGCAAAAGGAAGCTCACCACGATCACGTCGACGTCATCGCAAACAAGTAAGTAAGGTTTTTTTTCGAAAAAAAAAAGAAACATTAATCAAAAACACTAATTGTTGTAACAATGATAACAAGTTATCAGTAATATAAGCATCAAAATTCAACTATATGTTAAATGCAATACTTACCAGCTGTTCTTTGCTGCAACATAAATGATAAATATAACATTTGGCATTAAAAAAATTTTTTTTTTTTTGATTATATTAAAATTTCATATCGAATTTTTATTAAATTTTATGTTTTATTAACAAATATTTTTTTGTTTTATACGATTGAATTATTTTAAATCATTTTTTTCGATGGTTTGAAATAATTCAATAATTCGAAATTAAATTTATAAAAGAATTAATTAAATATCGGAATTAATTGTGTCAATAAAAATGTTAAATACGGACTTTATTGCAAATAAGAAATTGATGAAATGAAAAATTAAATGAAATATGAAGAATTAGCATAAGTAATGTAAGTAATAAATTAATCTAATTTTTAACTTTTAGCAGATTTTGTTTATTGTTTTTGTTTTTTCTCCTCTCCTTCCCTCCCTCTTCCTCCTTCTTTCTTTGCTTAAATTTCAAATTAATTCATTTATATGCTTTCCAAATATTTTGTAGCAAATAGCAAAAATTAAAAATTCATTTTATTTAATGAATGATTATTTATTCATTTCATTTTCTTTCCTTAAACATTAAATTAGCAATTCCATGAATATATCGTTTTCCCGATGATATATATATATGATAGTATAATGAATGTTGTATTTGATGAAATGAGAATACAGAATGTTTCAATTTTTTAAATTTCGAATTTTAAATGGAATATTTCTTCTTTGTTTTTTTTCTTAATTTTTTCCTTTCTATTTAATTTGAAGAAGTCATCTCTATCAAAGTGATTATTTCATAAAATTTATGTAATAAATTATTTTTTGCAAAAAAATGTTTCAACGTTTTTTTTTTCTCTTTTTAGGTGGGCGTTGTAATTATTAAAGTGAAAAAAACGATTAATTAATTTATTTAATTAATTCAAGTGATATTACACTATTCTATTATCAATTTCATTTCTAGTCTTTTTTCAAAGATTTTATCAAACGATATATGTCTTATCAGAAGTGATATATTTGTTGATAAGATAGAATCTTGTTTGTTATTCTATGATATGAAGGTTTTAAGGCTGAATAAGATAATCATGACGAGTAGAAATCGAATGAAACAGAATCATTCTTAAATGTTTAGTTATGAGAATTAAATTTAAGTCAATAAGTTAGGTTACTTCTTCGTTCCTATGATTGAAAAAAATGAACTTTATGTATTTTTTTTTTNTTTTTTT